GAAGACAAATCGTTGGATATCGGAATTCGAAACCCTGATATTTTCTCATGAAATTAGCAGGCATACCTGTTGTCATTAGAGCAGATCTAATCGCAGCAGGGGACCATGTGGGATGGAACGACTTAACGTACGCCGCAGCCCCGGACGCATGCGGACAAGACATCGATGTGCCCGAAATAATGTTGAACTTAGCAGTTTGTGTATCTCCTTCTGCGTCCGAGATGGAGGCTGCTTCGGACCATGCCGCCAAGATATCGACCCCGGGTGCCGTAAGATCGGGCTGAACTCGAATAGAGAACATCAGAACTTAAAACCGAACATCAAAATCGGTGAATATTATTTCATTATTACCTTGAGAATATCTGCTGTAATAGGGTTAGGCCCTCTAGATGAAAATGTAACAACGAATGGGGCAAATTGATTATTATCTTGGGTGGTCCTCAATATTGTTGCAGTTGGGTTCCTAATACGAAAAATGACAGTTAGAAGGACCAAAATTATAATTAAACCATATTATAGAAAGGACTAGGAAAATACTCTGTTGTGTTCAAATAGTTGAGGATCATTCTTCCATCATTCACATTCACGGTGGAAAGAGGTAGAGGGTAGCTGAATTGATAATCCTTGTATCCGAGATCTTGAAACACGGCTCCGGCAGCCCCGGCTTCCATTACACCTTCGTAATCGGTGAAGTACTCGCAAAAAACGATCTTTCCTTTCACTTGTGTTGAGTTCAATGCTCCTGGAAAGCAATACCTGTAACAAAATTTCGTCACATCAAGATACCATCCACTTATGTTGATCGAGTACGGCACGATCGGTATTCCGTGATCTCGGTACTACCTGGAAAATTGCGAAGCGGAAGGGCCTAAGGTTGCGTTCGGAGCGTCTCCGCCGTAGATGAAAGGATACGTTTTCCCCTTGGGATCAAATATGTTTATAGAGGCTCCCTGTAATTAGGAAATTAAGGTGTAAGTAGGCATCAGTGTAGCATAAATGAATGGATTATGAATTTCCCTTTAAGTCCTACCTCGAAAATCTGTCCGTTACCGAGTTTCACCTTCGCAACGAACTTCCGATCGATTGTACTAGCTGCAACGGATAGTGACCAAGGTGAAAGATTCGTAACCGATGCGGGGACAGGACCACCATTACCAGCGGAGTTCGATGTGAGAATCCCATACTTCATCGCATGGAAAGCACCTATAGCGATGGAGTCTTCAAAATAATCCAACGGTGAAAAACTCCCGACCGAAAGAGAGATTATGTCGACGCCATCGGCAATTGCATCGTCGAATGCCGCAAGAATGCCTTCGTCAGAGCATCCATCATACCAACATATCTTGTAAACTGCAATACGTGCCAACGGAACCCCTCCGCGAGCAGTCCCTTTGGCGATGCCGTATAAGCTTGCCTGGCTAACAAAGCGACCCGCAGCGGTTGAAGAAGTGTGAGTCCCATGACCCTCCGCGTCCCTCGGAGATAAAAAATCTCCCGGACCGGCTTCTCCATCGGTCAGGTAGTATCTAGCTCCAATAATTTTGCTGAAAGGGATTCAAATTATCATTGTTAACACCAATATTTCAGGACTCAATGATATCTTCATAATGTTAAAAGTTTATGGTATGTTATGTTTTACTTATTGCAAGTGAAATTTGCCAAGTTTTGGCAGCTGCCCTTCCATTTATTCGGGATCGAACCGTATCCGGTGTCGTTAAAACTTTCCGATTCGGGCCAAATTCCGGTGTCGAGCATTCCCACAATGATATCACTCTCAATGATTGATCTTTTCATTTTCTTGTTGAATCCCATGAATTCCCATGACCTTGTTGTGTGGAGCTGCTTCTTTTGACTAAGGAACACTGATACTACCTCTTCCTTACCTGAATTATAGAAGGATTAAATCCCAATTTTTAGTATTGTAGAGGGACTAAGAAAAATTAGACCTCAAAAAAATAATAGATTAAAAGGTAAACTACGTATTTAGTCATCCAACTATCACTTTGGTTTCGTTTTGACCACTCAACTATTGTTTTTTCAAAATCATCACTAACATTACGTTTCAATTTCATTTTAGTCACTGCCATTATAAAAATAATGTTGATGCTGACGTGTCATCCTAAGGTAATACCACATCATCATTGATTTTTTTTTTAAAATACCACGTCAATAGTTCAATTAATTTTTAAATGACTGTTGACCAAAATGAAATCAAAACGTGACGTTAGAGATGGTTTTGACAAAAAAAAGTAGACCAAAATGTAAACAAAGTGATAATTGGGTGACTAAATGCGTAGTTTACCCTAGATGAAATCTCTTAACCTCTCATTTTATTTGCTTCATCAACGGTTAACCTAGCAGCAAATCCATTGAAGCTCCTACGGTAGCTGTAGACTAAAACATCTGATGCAGCCCTGTGGAAATCAATTCATAAACCAAAGTTAACTATCAGGACTAATTCATAACAAACTAACAATTCAAGGACCAAAACCGTAATTTGACTGATAATAAATCAACACACCTAGGAACAACATCTTGAAGCATGCCCATGTGAAGGCTTGAAATGGAGACATCACCCTTGGGAAGGTCTCCCATGTAGACAATGTAGACCTGTTTTCAATCCAACAACAACAGTTAGACATAGTAAAACTTCGAAATCGTCGGAAATCAGCTCGGATTTCGTTATCTATTTGCCTGTCTCGAGTCCCGATCGGACGCTCCGTGGCAGCCGAGGAGGAAGCTAACTCCGAGACAGATAAGCGTTAGCCATGCCGAAGAACCCGCCCGGAACGCCATTGATGAGGGTTGAAGAGGTTGAGTTAGTGATAATCAATGGTGTGAAAGAGGGGGTTTATATAAGTATCGGATTAATTAGTGAAACATAAAGCGAGCTTTGTTAAGGTCGTCAATGGAAGATGGGTACATGCATGGCTGGCTTAGAAATTTATGATACATATATTTTTTACCGAAAGTGTTGATTACAAGAAAGTTTCGATTTGTCGCATGTAATTGGCTTTTTAATTAATTGAATTTATCGAAAATATTTAGTCCGTGATTTCTTTCGGCTTAAGAACTTCATTTAAGCCTTTGAAAGTCCCTAAGGATGGGCATAAGACCCGAACACGACGGGTTCTGACCTGATTGGGTCGGGTTTTTTTAAAAAAATTCAAGTTTAGATCAGGTTCGAGTTTAGGGTAAAAATACATGACCCGACCCGAAAAAATATAATTTTACCATATATATTTTAGAATAATTATAATAATATCCCTCTATATATTATTTTTTTTCAATCAAGTCACTGATTTTATTGAATAAAAATAATTTTTTTATTATTTCGGGTCGGATTTTTAAGTTATATATCGGATCTGATTTGGGTCGGGTGAAATCTTGTTTTGATCGGGTCGGATCGAATCTCGGGTGGAGGATCCCTTGTTCTCAAGTTGGGTCGGGTGAAACAAAAACCCGACCCAACCCGACCTATGTCTATCCCTAAAAATCCCTACACAAAATAGTACGATAAACACAAGTAAATGATCACAAAATAATAAAAAAAAAGGGGTAAAAAGTCATAGGAGGTTTTTGTACTTCTTAAAAAAATTTAATGTAATCTTTGTATTATTTTTCTTTTAATATGACCCTCTAACTCAGAAAACAAATTTAATGTAGCCCTTTGATCGATGTTTTTCGTCGTTTGACCGTTACGGTGCTGATGTGACAGTTCATGTTGTTGACATGACGATCCACGATACTGACATGACAATCTATCTATTATGTTTGAGTTACCAATTTAGTTCATCTACCATGTTATCCTTCACGTTATCAACCACCGTGGGCTGTCACATCAACACCGTGAATTGCAATGTCAGCAGAGTGAACTTGTCACATCAACATCGTAACGGTTAACAACGAAAAATGTTAGTTAAAGAGTCACACTAGACTTATTTTCTAAATTGGAGGGCCTCATTGAGAGGAAAAAATAATACAAAGATCACATTGATTTTTTTTAAGAGTACAGGGACCTCTAATGCCTTCTTTTACCTATAAAAATATAAATTTACATGGGAAATCTTAAAAGAAAAAAACTACATGCATACAATTTTTTTTATTATAGTTGGCGATAAATTATAAAAGATTATACGAGAGTATGTCGAAAGTCTTTGTAATCGGTAGAGATGCTCGTTTTTTTTCTAATTTATTTTTTTATAAAGCCGCTAATATTATTAAAAAGAACATAGCACATTAAATAATACTCCGAGTATATGACAATATTTTATTGAGTTTATTGACTATTAAAAGTTACGAAATAGTCCCTTGACTATAAGATATTATTTTATCAACTCCTTTAACAATTAAAAGTTATAATACGTTCACCCAACTATTCATATGATCCAAACTTATCATTTTTCCTTAAAAAATTCATGACAGTCTTGACAGAAAGCAAATCTATTGATTGATATATTATAGTTGTTTGATATTTTAGGACCATATTTTATCATATTATAGTAAATAGGTTAACGTTTAGTTTAGACTGTTGTCAATTTTTTAATAGAATAGAACCTGTTCGGAACATATGAATAATCAAGTGATCGTTTTGTAACTTTTAATAGTCAGGGGATTCAATAAAGCAATATCCTACACTCAAAGGATTATTTATAACTTTTAATAATCAATGACTCAATAAAACATTACTCTATAATCGGGGACCATTTATATACGAAGAACATGAAGATGTTTATGTTTTTATGGGAAATAACTTAGCCATTTGAGAACAACATCAAAGCTTGGATTCATTTTATTTTCAATCTCACTTACATGGATACAGTTGCTCCAGGGTGGGGACGTGCATACCCTGAAATTCGATTTTTTATGTTATTTTTCATTTTATTAAAAGTGTTCACTCTCAAATTTTATTTGTGCTCACCCTTACGATTTTTTTTGTTATTAATACATACGTGTCTATTCTAAAAAATATTTTTAAATCCGCCTTTAACGACCTTACTTCATTCAAGTAAGGAAGCATATGCAACGATAGGGCTCCTCACTTGATGAACTCCATCATCCCAAATCAAACCACCAGAGAGCATGGAGTTACCAACTTCAGCTTTCACAGTCACTGTGAATGATACCTTTTGGCCAAGAGATTTGAAAGAAAGTATACTCGGTTGAACCTGGATTACGAGCCCCGACGGAGCCTTAACGACCGCCTTGTAAGTCGACACTGCCGAGCCAACATTTGTCACCGTCCGATGGAAGACTCGAGTGACTGAATTTCCGGGAGTTGCGGATAACGCGAACGAGGGGTAGTTTAGATCCCACACCATTCCGTTGGTTTCTTCGGAACAACTTTTGTTGCATCCGGTAACGAGCGAGACTTGGTTAGTGGTATATCCTTGTCCACACAAGAAATTAACAAAATCGGCCTCCCCGGCATCGTATATCAATCCTGGTCGAACAGCTTGTGCAGGGTTTATATGGCCTGCACCATATGCGAACTCGGCTTCAAGGTTGTTCTCGGAACTCATCGGAAGAGCTACGGAAAGAGTGGGAGTTTAGATGGATTCAGACAATGCAACTATCGATGTCGCGACGAAAAAAACTACTACTAGATCACCTGTTGTCATTAGAGCAGATTTAATGGCAGCAGGGGACCATGTCGGATGAAATGATTTAACATAAGCTGCGGCACCAGTTGCATGTGGGCAAGACATGGATGTGCCTGAAATAATGTTGTATGGGACAAGTCTCGTATCGTCTTCGACATCCGTCAAAGGGGCGGCTCCGGACCATGCCGCTAAAATGTCAACACCCGGTGCTGTAAGATCAGGCTGCATTGGAAAAACAAGATTAGTAATAAGAAAAGAAATTGATTGTCTATATATACGTATCATTTACCTTGAGGATGTCAGCTGTTATTGGGTTAGGCCCTCTCGATGAAAACGAAACAACGAACGGGGCGAACTGATTATCTTCTACTTGAGTCTTGAATATCGTTGCGGTCGGATTTCTATTCGAAACATGACAATTACAAAACACAAATTAATGATGTTTAACCGTACTAACATTATGTTTCATGGAACATGTTATGTTTTGTAATGAAGTTGGTATAAATACTCTGTCGTGTTCAGGTAGTTGAGAACATTCCTTCCGTCATCCAAGTTCAAGTTCGAAAGAGGTAAAGCGGAGGGGGAAACATAATCTTTGGGCTTGTAATTGTTAAACACTCCGCCAACAGCACCGGCTTCGACCAGGCCATCGCCTTCGCTTAGATAATCGCAGAAAATAATTTTGCCTTCCACTAAGGTTCTGTTCAAAGTGTCGGGATCGCAATACCTCGAATCCTCGGATGTATAACCTTGTGAGGTGTTTGTAGCCGCTGCACCGGCGATGAAAGGGTACATTTTTCCGTTGAGATCGAATGTATTTATCGAGGTTCCCTAGTAAAATGAAGGGTTGAAGTGATGTTCAAATGTGCGTCGGATACGAACGTGGAACACAACAGAAATGAACCTGCTTACCTCATAGATCTCGCCATTTCCGAGCTTGACCTTAGTGACAAACTTCCTATCAATGGTACTAGCAGCAACTGATAAAGACCAAGGCGAAAGGTTCGAAATCGTCGCGAGTCCCGGACCACTATTGCCAGCAGAATTCGATGTCAATATCCCATTTTTCATCGAATGGAAAGCTCCGATAGCAATAGAATCATCAAAATAATCCAATGGAACAGAATTCCCAACGGAAAGCGAGATTATGTCAACTCCATCTGCTATCGCATCATCGAACGCCGCGAGAATGTCCGCGTCAAAGCAACCGTCGAACCAGCAAATCTTGTAAACCGCAATGCGAGCCGATGGCACCCCGCCACGAGCCGTCCCTTTGGCAAGACCATATAGACTTGCCTTGCTAACCAAGCCACCTGCAGCTGTTGATGAAGTGTGAGTCCCATGACCTTCGGAGTCTCTAGGGGACTTGAAATCATAATTCGGATCCAAATCTCCGTCGGCTCGATAATATTTCGCTCCAATGATTTTGCTGAAAGTATATTCAAACATTGTTAAGGCCAACATTTCAGGAATCAGTGAAAAAAAATTCATTTTCTGGATGATTATGATTTACTTGTTGCAAGTGAAGTTGGCTGAGCTTTGGCAGGTGCCTTTCCATTTACTCGGAATCGGACCGAATCCGGTGTCGTTAAAGCTTTCGGACTCCGGCCAAATCCCGGTGTCGAGCATTCCAACAATGATATCGTTCTCAATGACTGATCTTAAAACTTTTTTGTTGAATCCCATAAAGTCCCATGACCTTGTTGTGTGGAGTTGCTTCTTTTGGCTAAGGAATACTGAAACCACCCCATCTTTTTCTAAAAAGAATTAAATCCGAAATTATTGTCAGAAATTATTGGCTAAGGAGATAATGGAATTATATTGAAGGGATTCAAATAGCGGCCGGATAGCGGTATAGTGTCGCTATATCGTAGTTGTAACAGTGTCCGAGACCACTATCGCAAAAAATAGCTGTGTGAAACGGAATCACATTAATAGTGGTTGTTGCAGTCACAATTTAACAGGTAGCAATCAATTGCGGCAATAGCGGACCGCTATTCCGCTATTTTAACTTTTTTAAATCATTTTTTTTATATCAATCCTTTAGAAAAAAATCACAATTGAGATACCCACAATGAGCACAATAACATCCGTTATATCCGTAATCATGATAAACGCAACGTGATTAGATATCCAACCGCAATCGCAATTTAAGTCCCTGATTGAAATACCTCTGAGTGAATTTGCCTCATCTTTGGTCAATTTGGCTGCAAATCCATTGAAGCTCCTATGGTAGCTATAGAGCAAAACATCTGATCCCACAGTACTGTTGAATTCAATTCATAAAAAGTGTTAGAGTAAAAAGTTATGGTCAAATTATGGTTTCGATCCCTCTATTATGCTAAAATTTGAGATCTAATTTATTTACTTTATTTCGACATATCTTTGACCTCATTAAAGACACCATAAACGTAGATGTGCAAATTAAAGTAAATTATAATGTCAAATTTCAGCTTCAACGTTTGACTAAGTAGTTATTTTGACTCGTATTTATCTTTTTAAAATATTTTAACACTAATATTTTATTATTAATAAAATTGATTTATGATTGGATACAATTTATTATTTGATTATTCAATATTTTTTGTTGACGTGATAAATCTTATATGTATAAATAATTAATATGACATGATTACGTCGTCACTTTGGATATGTGACATGTATCACACTATTATTTTAGACATGTGTCACATCATCATTTTATATATGTCACATATGTCACATCATCACTTATGTACATGTTAGGGTGTGCGGTATCAGATTTTTTATTATTTTCAAATTATTAATTTTAAAAATATATATACACAAATTTAAATGTTTGAAACTTCGAATTATTATATATATATATATATATGTGTGTGTGTGTATGTATGTATAAAAAAACTAACCGGGTACCCGAAAAACTTCAATTTTGTGACTCGGTCTCGACCCGGAAAATGTCAGGTTGAGTACCCGACCCGGCCGGGTAAATTTTTTTAGAAAATTACCCGGTTTTTTAAGTCCCGGTCGGCGGGTCAGGTAGTTTTGCACACCCCTAGTACATGTGACAATGCCACGTCAGTCTTTTGAATACATAGGACTTGGTATATTAGCGACAAACATTGATCGTAGTCAACTAATAACTTTTATCCAATTATGGCCCATTTTGACCCAAAATAAATGTTACAAAAAAAAATAGAGATCAATGTGATTTTTCGATCAAACGTTAATAGTGATGTATGCAAGCGTTTCTCAGTGACCATTATGAAATTTGATTTTTTTTGTTAATTGTTCATTTTATATATTGCACACACCCTGAAATTATATTTGTACCCACTCATACCAAAAATTTCTAAATTCGCCACTACATGTTTCGGCTAAATCTTGACATTATACCTAGATCAAAATATAGATGCTAAACCTCGAATTTTATCATAATAAAGAGGCCAAAACCATGATTTCGCCTAAAAGGATCAAAGAGAGCAATTAGTAAGAAAATGATGAACCTGGGAACAACTTCTCCAAGCATAGAGGTGTGAAGGCTTGAAGTTGAAACCTTACCCTTGGGAAGGTCACCCATGTAAACAATGTAAACCTGCTTCCACATTACAACAAAACATATTAATATATATATGTATGTATGTATGTATGTATGTATGTATGTATGTATGTATGTATGTATGTATGTATGTATGTATGTATGTATGTATGTATGTATGTATGTATGTATGTATGTATGTATGTATGTATGTATGTATGTATGTATGTATGTATGTATGTATGTATGTATGTATGTATGTATGCATGCATGCATGCACATACATATACATGTATTGATAAAAACATAGTAATTTCGTTTGCCTGTCGATTATAAGAGAAGCCATGACAGCATACGAGCATCGAAAGAGTGAAACCAATACGCAAAAGCCATGCAAAGGAGGAAGAAGAGGAGTGGTCTGCCATTTTTGAGTTGTGTGGAGCTTGATTTTTGAGTTTTATATAGGGTTTGTTGAGTGTTGGAATCAGCTCCGTTGGGATTCATTAATTTTTTAAAGCACTTGAGCTTTGCTAAGCTCGCCTAGGGGAACAAAGTTGTGCATTGCCGGCCAATCACTTACTAGGATCTTCGTTCTCCATCCACATTTTGTTTATGTCAATTGTTGATTACAAGAAGAAGAAAAAAGTCGAAACACAAATCAATTCGATAATATGTTAGGGTAAATTATGTGTTTAGTACTTAAATTATCAGTTTTATTCCATTTTAGTACCTAAACTTTCAATATTTTCAAAACTATACATAAAGTTTAATTTTTATTTCACTTCAATACCTAAATCAGACAATCAATTACAAAGTAATTCAAGATAATCAATTACAACGTAATTCAAGATAATCAATCACATCGTAATTAATGATTAATCCAATTTATACATAACAAAATAATAATAAAAAATGGCATTCCCTCTTAGGTTGCGTTTGGATGGGGGAATAGAAGATTATCGGGGGGGGGGGGAATATTTTTTCCAGAATGTGATACCCATGTTTGGATTGCAAAGATTCTCAGTATGGGTAATAAGTCATTCCCAACAGTGGCATTTTGTGAGTTTATTACCGGGAGTGTCATTTCCGCCAATCCCTTAGGTATTTGTCATTTCCCATGGTTTTGGACTAAAATGCCCTTAAAACAATTTTTTTCAAAAATATCATTCTTTTGTCATTGAATAAAAATATTTTATATGAAGGTTAAATTGCAAAATTATCCTTAAATTGTTTTAGATTTACAAAAAAGTCCACAATTAGAATTTTATATGAAGTCCAGGGGTTAAAATAAAATTAAACCCTTTCATTAAACCCTTTTATCTTTTAAATTTTGTAAAACATTGTATAAATTTTATGAATTTAAATTTTATAAAGAAAATATATAAATTAAAATAGAAAAATTATATATTTTCTATGATCTTTTACACAAATATTTTCATTTGAATATTTAGAATTCAACTTGTTAAAAAACAAATATATAATAAGGACAATTTGGTAAAATATACATTCCAATAATCTTTTATTAATTTAACCAAACATTATAATCTTACATTCCTGCTAAACAAACAAAACACAATAATGCAACTGTTGAACTATGTTTCGATATAACAATTTAAGGCAAAATGGTTTTTGGACTTGAATTGAATTTACAAAATGTATTTGGACTTAATTGAATTTATTCAAAATGTACAAAAATAATTCAAAGTTCTTTTAATTTAAAATTGAGCACAAAAATATTTTTATGAATAGTAATTTACTATTTGAACAGTAAATCACTGTTCGAACAGTACCCGAGGCTCAAAAATTCCAGTATGTAAAAGGGGAACTGATTCCCCCCAAGGGGGTACCGATTCCCTCACTGTTCATCAGCCCAACGGTCATAATATTTGAATATTATGAAGGGGTATCGATTCCCTATGAAGGGGTACCGATTCCCCCATTCTGGGCAGCCTATTTTTGCAGAAAAATCATTCCCAAACGGCTCCAAAACATCCCCAACGGCTAGATATGACTTCAAACACATTCCAAGCTATAAATACAAGCTAAGGACACTTGAAGAAATAAGAGAACAACTATCCAAGCAATCAAACACAAGATAAGAGTTTTTCATTCTTATTTCATATTTCTCTTGTAAATATTTTGTTCTTGTGAGCTCAATCTTGTAAACACCTACCTTAGAGAGGTTTTCTTGTTTACATCTTTTTATCCTATTATAAAGGGGAAAGGTTCTAGTTTAGCCCGAAAAAACTAGGGAGTTGTAAGGTTATCTCTTTGTCCTCAAAAAGAAAGAACAAATTAGTGAATTTGTTGGAAAATCCTTGGTGAGGAGCTAAGGTAGTGGATGTAGACTTTGGTTGAGAAAGTCGAACCACTCTAAATCGCTGTGCAATTTTCTATCTTTCAATCTCCTTACTCCCTAAACACAAAACCGTTCCGACCCCTCTTTGCAAATCGTTCCGGTTGTTGTTTCGAGCTTCCGAAAATCCTAATAATTGGCATCAGAGCCTAACTCGTTAAGAAGGTTTAACCACCTTGAGACGATCCTAGAAGAAGCTCTACTAATTCCCGACACAATCGAGAAGATGGTTTCCACCTCCGGCTCGTTCCACATGGAAGACTCCCTACCAACGGACAAGCCTCCATACTTCAATGGAGATAACTATTATCATTGGAAGAAATTAATGAAGGTATTCATCCAATCCAATGATCTTGATGTATGGGAGATAATCGAGAATGGCTACTCTTCTCCAAAGAAGAATGAGAAGAAGCGGAGTGACAAAGAATGGAAGAAAGCTCAACTTAATGCCAAGGTCATGCACATGTTGTTTTGTGCATTTGGTCCTGAAATCTATGAAGGGGTTTCTTCATGTTCAAGTGCCAAGGAGCTTTGGAATAAGCTTGAGGAAATCCATGGAAACAAGAAAGAAGAACCAACAAAGGTGGTGTCTCTGATGGCTTATGAAGAGCCCGAGGTATATTCTAACTCAAATGAACTTAATTCATATACATTTGATGAGTTACAAGATGCTTTTAATAGGTTATATTTGGAGTTTGAGACCATGAACTCCAAATATAAGAAAATAATTTCAAATTTTAAAATTGAAAACGATTTTCTTTTGAAAACAAAAATAGATTTTGAAAGCCAAAATGAAATTTTGAAAAAGGATTTAGAGCTTTCAAAAATAAAAATTGATAGTTTTGAAAAACAAAATTTTGATTTAAAAGTTAAGCTTGAATGCTTAACAAAAGAAAAAGAAATCATTTTAAATAATTCATTTAGTTCAATAATGACAATATGCTCACATTGTCATTATCATGGTCATTTGGAACATACTTGTCCTTTGAAGAAAGGAAAGCGTTTTAAAATTAGGCAAGTATGGGTTCCGAAAGGAACAAGGGGCATTGAAACTAACGTCCAAGGATTCAAAGCAATTTGGATACCAAAATCTACTTAAATGTCTCTTGTAGGTGTGTGGGAGCAATGATGATGAGAGTGATGATATTCAAGATGCTCTAGCCACACATGAAAAAGGAATGAGTAACCTCTAAGCTTAATGCTTTTAATTTAGGTTATTTGGTTGCTCATTTGATTTTAAGCATGCATGAGTTTTTGTTTTAAATGATTATGCATCATTGTTTTAATCTCATGTATGTTGAAAAGATGATTATGATGAACATTTATTTTTGAGAATTTTTAGTTAATCATAATGAATTTTGGTTAAAATTGGTTTTAAATGCTAATGATATCTCTCTAACAATTGATATCAAATTTCAAAATACTTTGATTTAATAAAATTTTAATTTTTTGCCTAAATTTGAATGTTTATGCATGTGGTTTAAATGAAAATGATATCTCTCTAACAATTGATATCAAAATTTTCAAATGCATAGCATTTTTGGAAAACTTTATGCATATGCACTTAATTTTAACAATTGATATTGATATCAAATTTCAACAATTGGTATTGCATAAAGTATTTTAGTCTTGGATATATTGAATTTCATGTGCTACTAACATGTTTGTTATTTTTTGTTGAAATTCAATTTTGTTTAAGTGTCTTGTTCTTAAAGCTAAATTTTATTTGGAATGTATTTAATGAGGGAGAGCTTTGATTTTTCAAATGATTTTTTAAAATGTAAAAATTTACTACTTACTCTCCATAGTTATTTTAAACTTCAAAGATCGAATTATTTTTGATATAACAATTTTGACCTGAAATTTTTCTTAATGTTTATGCATATTTTTTTTAAATATTATAAAGTTTTAATGCATAACATTTTCAAAAACTTTATGCATGTGCTCTTAATCTCTATAATCAACATTGCATAATGTTTTATATGTGAATGGGTTAAAAGCATAATCTTTGAAAAATAAATTTTAAATGATTGCAAAGTTGATTGAAATTGCATCTGTTTTCGATTATGCTTGTTGGTCATAGAATAGGAAACATATACATGGTGCATTTAGATTCTTTTGATATGACTAATTTATGCCTAGTTGCTAAGGATGAACATGATAGTTGGTTATGGCATAGGAGACTAGGACATGCTAGTATGAGTGTTTTGCAACGGTTAATTCAAGGAGACCTAGTAAGAGGGTTGCCTAAGCTTAAATTTGATAATTATAAAATCTGTGATGCTTGTGCTAAAGGAAAACAAAAGCGAGTTTCTTTTAAATCCATTAATGATGTATCAACTAGTAAAGTTTTACAATTGATCCATTTAGATCTTTTTGGGCCAATTAGAACTACTAGCTTGGGTGGAAAACAATATGCATTTGTCTTGGTAGATGACTATTCTAGATATACTTGGGTTCTATTTTTAAATACTAAAGATGAAGCATTAGAACAATTCATCACGTTTTCAAAAGTAATCCAAAATGAAAAAGGTTACTCTATAACTAGTGTTAGGAGTGATCATGGAACTGAATTTGAAAATCTTGGATTTACTGAATTTTGTAACTCTAACGGTATTAGCCATAATTTTTCAGCACCTAGAACCCCTCAACAAAATGGAGTTGTTGAGAGGAAAAATCAAACTTTAGAAGAAATGGC